AAGCCTTTAATCTTGAACCAGAACGAAATCGAGAATATAAATTCCCATTATATCATTCTGAAACTTAAACTATCAAAACACAAAATCAATCCTTGCACGAAGCAAGGATCGAACACACGAACTTGATCTTTGCAGACGAACTGCAAAAATCAATTTCGCTGTTCTTTCCTATATTCTGCACAACGATTGAAGTTGTGCAATGACTCGATGTTATCCTTCAATGTGTATTTTTTTATTGTGTTTTTGTGTTTTGTTGTTGGTATCTTTTACAGTTTACTCTACTCTGATACTATTTAGACTTTCCTATGAGAGAAATTTTTCTGTTTTTGCGTTTAAAGACTAAAATAAGAAAAGGACAAATTTTATATTTTCATCAAAGGACAAAATAAGAAATGATCACGGAAATAACATGCTTTTGGTCCTGGTTGACGAAATTTCGAAAACATGCAAAAGATTTTAGTTAAGAAAACTAAATCTTTTTATGCCAAAAGCATGCAAAAGATCATTTCAAAAGACATGTAATATACCTTGATTCATCTGTATGATCAGAAAACATGGCTTAGATCTCGAAAATTCTACATATTGTACTAAGATGTAGTGAGATAGTTGGTCGAAGTGTATCTAAAGTTTGAAAAGAATATCAACATAACGGGTTATGCATTTTACTAAAGCATATCAAGAAAAGTCTTTCACTAATGTCAAAAATAATAACTTTTTGCTGAAACTAAATACACGAAAAAATAGTCTGTGAAAAATTCTATGGATCTGATCCCCTTAAGAATTTTCAAGTTACAGTCTTTTAGTTTTCTGAAACGCTTTCTAAAAGTCAGATTTTCAGAAAATAGAGATTTTGCGTGTAACAATTGGGGACTTCAGCAAAAGCGTCGGAAAAAATACGAAGTGAATGAGACTAGTTTTTGTTTTACATCGGATTGTAGACAATTGAATGAAGATCATTTTACAGTTCAAAAACTGGAAAAAAGTTCATCTGTTAATTCAAGAATTGGCAATTAACGCTAATAAACTGATTTTCTAACGGTCCAAATAAACGATTATTTCTTCACAGAAACTGAATAAAAGGAAAATGTATTGCACACCATTCGAAAGAGTGTTTCAAATACTCTCAGATGTAATAATCAGTCATCTTTCAAGCTTATCCTTAAACCAGACAGAACCGCTCCGAAGAAGATAGAGAGCGGACATTTTGACGATTTACCAGTACATTTTCAGTGATGTTTAGTTTTTAAATGTTTTTCAATGAGGCTTTGCGAGCGATATTTTATTTGATACGCGTTTTGTAGTTTAGACTTTGCTCTTTCAAACAAAAAGAAAGCAAAGTCTCTAGAACAATAGAAGTATAGAGAAACGGCGTTCGACATTTGTTGCAAAACTTATGCATAACCCATTATTTACTAACTAGAAATGTACGTGTTATATAATGCCGTCATCATGGAAGCATATCATATCATTTGACAATCTATATTCTTCTTTATATTAGCATACACATTTCGCCAATTGGTACTAATGATAGTATCTGATCACGTAAGTTCGAGTGTTTCTCTGTCTATTTTTATTTTTTTAACTAAATACATGAATCTGGACATTTACTAGAAAACCAGTATAAATTAGATGGAAAATAAAGACAGTTTATGCACTCAAATATTGCGAGATCTAAATAAAATTTAGCAGAAATATAATAACTGTTTACGAGGGAAACTTCCCAAGTGCCGGGCGCCTTTCGAACTGATATTTTGCCCACAAGTAGACCCTGAGGAAGTATGAGAAATCAGACAAGCACTTGCCCCTACAGGCCTTTCTTTCTGAATTATGATTGTTTTTCTGTTTTTTTAACCTGTGGCAATGTATTTTCAGAAAAATTGAATGCATGACTTTCGATCTGAAACTTTGTCAATAAATAGACCTAATGACTCTTAGAATGTCTCAATAAATTTAATCAGAGTGACGCTTACATCACGGCTTAATAGATTTTAAAAAACGAGTATATATTGGAAAAAATTCGAAAAGATCGAATTTTTTTGAAAATTCGGTATGAGTCCATTAGACCTATTTATTGACAAAATTTCAGATCGAAAATCGTTCATTCGATTTTTCTGAAAATACATTGCCACACGTTAAAAAAACAGAAAAACGATCATAATTGAGAAAGAACTACTTTACTAGTACTTCCTCAAGGTCTACTTGTGGGCAAAATATCAGTTCGAAAGGCGCCCGGTACTTGGGAAGGTTCCTTCATAAATAGTTATTATATTTCTACTTAACTATTGCGAAAACTTCCTGTGAGGAAATTTTCGATATCACGATAAGTGCTTGTTTTATCGACACCGTCACGAAGTTTTTGCAGTTACGGCGATAAATGATTTATCGGGCAAAGTAACCTTTTTTATTGCCATAACGATATTATAGCGATTTATCGATAAACAATCTTTATCATAGTAATGAGCTACTTTATCGAAATAAAGTAATTATCGCGGTAACTGGAAAAACTCCGTGAAGGCCTCGATAAAACAAGCACTCATCGTGATAAATGTAACGAAAATGTCCTCATGGGTTACTTTATCCTTTTGAGAAATAATTCAAATAGTTTTCATCATAAAGATTAGATCTTCTGATTATTTCATTTCGAATACACAAAAAGAACATGTATTACCGCTATCCTCACTCAATTCTAAGTAATATTGAAATATATTTAAATCCAACATCGAATTTGTTGCAAATCATTTTCTTGATGTGGATGTTAAAATACTGTTAAGTTTTTATGAAATCGAAGAGAAACGAAAAATCTGTTCGAGAAAGCACTGAACCTGGTACTGTGACGCTTATCAGATACGCGATATGGATCCGCTATATCCAACCATATCCATATCAGTGGACGTCTGATTGGATTGAGCGTTGGTTTTCTAGCGGTGAAAACTTCATATTGTTTCTGAATACTATTACTGTAAATTTTATGAAGATTTTTCTTGTTCTAACAATTCTCTTCTCCATTTCCAGCACAAAGTTGCGCGTCTGGTTCTACTCTAGAGCTTTTGGATTTAGCTCTAAATATTCTGGTTGATTCAACTGGCACAAATCTGTATGTGTCAGATTGGAATAATTTTCGTGTTATCAAATGGATTGGATTAAATAGTTCATTCGGCATTGTTGTTGCTGGTGGAAATGGTGAAGGGTATTTAACAACACAAGTTGATCGTCCATGGGGTTTATACTTGGATGAATCGTCAAATTCCGTGTTTGTTGTTGATTATGATGCTAATGCAATACAAAAATGGAATTTAGGTGACCAAAATGGGACATTTATCGCAGGCACACCAGGTACTTCTGGTTCAAATGCCAGTCAGTTGAACCAGCCTACACAAATAATAGCTGATCCATTTGGAAATTTGTACGTAAGTGATACATCCAATCATCGAATACAAATGTTTCAAGTAAGTAATTATTCCCTCTCTATTTCTCTCGATATTTAAAATTATTATTGGTGTACTCTATAGAAAAGTAAATCATACAGTACTGGTATAACAATTGCTGGCATAAATAATAGTCCTGGTTCTAGTGATGAACAACTTTATAGTCCAAATGGTTTGGCTTTTGACTCAGATATGAATTTATTTGTAGCTGATGCGTTAAATATGCGAGTGCAGAAATTTATGTTATTATAACGACACTTAGTTCTGATATTCACCGTTAGAAAGCAGCAATCGTATTCAGCTGATACGACCCATATTACACTCCTATTTGGAAAGCTTTGATTTCAAAACAATCTTTACTAAAGTTCGAAAATAAAGTAATTGTGATTTTCGTGCAATTGTAAAGTTAGAAAAAATAATGATGAAAGAAGTAAATAAATATTGACTCAAGAGGAATTACTGGAAATCAGGAAGTACGATTACAAGCACTCTCAAAATGATGATCCAGAAGAACAGAAGTGTTTAGAATCTTAGCCTGTCTACATGGGAGTACAGGAAAGCAAGACAAATAGGATTTTAACCTGTCACTACCATAACAGCAGTACAGGATAGCAATATTGTAGGATTGAAGGAATCCAGTGTACGATTTCGAGAAGAAACTACATCTCGTATCCTAGTACTTTTATGATAGGGACGGTTTAAAATCCTATTGCTTTGCTTTCTCTCACCAGCATAGTGATAAAATTCCTAAACAGATCTGACCTTGTGTTTTCTAAGTATTCTCCTTTCCTAGACATAGAAAGTGTCGTTTTGAGCTTTTCTACTATTTTCTTCCAAAATAAGTTAAGGACGTAGCATATTGTTATAATATCTATAAAATAAAACATATGGTTATTGATAAATATTAAAAAAAAGAGTGAAAATTGCTCTGATGGATTGAATTTTAGCAATCATAACGAATACAAAGCAGTGGAAGTTAACAGATTAGAATTTAAATAGATGGTAAGTGCGCCAATTGTGAAGTTCACTCCAATATGTTTGTACAAAAGATAACAGTAGTAAGCTTCTAAAAATACCCTGGTTTTCAAAATAAATGTCGTAGAAGGCAGTTTCTCAGCTTAAATTTCCTAAAATTTTTTTGAGTAAGCGAAAAATTTGTTCAGTAACTTCTATACAAACGAGAAGGTGGATTTCCACCCCCTAATCGAAACCGCTGCTTTCAGAAATAAGTTCTGTTTGTCTAAAAGTCAGCTAAACAGAGTTGGTAGGTTCGCCGTGAATAGAAGAGGATTTTTTTATCTATCAGCTGAAAAATGATATTTTTTACGTACTTATGGTATTTGAGTGCAGCCAAATTTTTTAGATTCACTTTTTTCACGTTGAATAACTGAATTGTTTATTAATAAAACAAATATCACATTTGGAATCAGCGCATCAAACTGCATCGATCCATGTCTAAGATGAGTTCATTTAGAGGACACATTTTCAGTCTTGATCACATTAGGACACCTTTTCGAAAAAACATACTTTTCTGTTTAAGTTTTTTTCACTAAATCACTCACAAGATTTCTGATAAATTGTGTTTGAGCCCAAAATGGTGACACTGGAAGGACCTTGAAAAGTTTCCTATCAACCAGTATTGATCGAAATTATGTCAAATTTTTACTATAATAACAGTAATAATCATTTGATAATGACAATGATTTCAAACCAGTTTTACTTAAAATCGGTATTGATCCATATTTAGATGAGGCAAAATCTTATGCTGGAATAAGTAAACGAAGCTGTTTTTCCAGCGAGCTTCCTTGGTGAAGAGAACTCGGGATCTACGGCCGATGCAAAATTTGATCGTACGGCTAAGAAAACGTTTTTCTTTTAAGTTTATTCCCATGACTATTTCCCAGAGCCCAAAATTGAACAAAGCTGCCTGAAGACGGTTAACAATCAGCTACAGATTGTTTGTTATCAGCTACGTGTTTTATATATGAAATTCATCGCATCGCAGTATCGTAGCACGATTTTCATAGTTTCATGGTATCACAGTATTGCTGTGAATTTCATGGTAACAATAGTAGTTTCATAGTATCACCGTCTCATAGTATGTCTTTCATATTTTTACAGTATCGCAGTTATACTATCAATTTCATAATATCGCACTATCATAGTGTGGCATAGTTTCACAGTTTCACCCAATCAGAGCGATAGTATGATTTTCACAGTATCGCTTCAATGGGTCACATCATACCTGACTACCTGGGGGCGCATGGGGAGAGGGGGCCGGCAGCATGAGAGTGAGTTACAAACTATGAAAGCGCATCAAAAACTAAACGAAAGGGCATATTTTTCGATCTTTTAGCGTTGAAACGGAATAGTTGGAAGAACAAACAAAGGAAAAACATGATTTCTAAAACTGAAATTTTTCGTAAAAGCTAAAACATTTTTCGTAAGAAACATTTCTGAAAAAGTGCGATCATGCTGTCGGATAGAACATTCAGTTTTCTAAAAACTGAGCGCAAAAAAGGTTTTTAGAAGTAGTGCAAAAGGACTTAAAATGTGTTACGTCAGACGCACCATAACAATTACCGTATCATCATATATTTTTCCAAAGTCACATTTCTGATATAAAAAAGAACATCAATATAGCAAATGAAGTATGGTGACTAGTGCAATTAATTTTTTGTCACAGTTTGCAAGTTAGACGATATTCAATTTTTCGTAAAAACCAAAACATTTTTCCTAAAAAGCATTTCTCAAAAAATGCCCCACAGGCAGAAATCTCAGCAACGTTATGATAAAAAAGAGCTGTCATATGCTGATTATCGCTTTGGAGCTTGTGGTGTAAAAGTCATAACTTAATGAAAAAGGACTGTGAAGAGCTGCAGAAGGTCTCATTTTGAAGATAAATCTTTGCTCTACCTTGCTGAATGGTGAAAAAATGTTTGCATTGGGTTTTTAAAAAGTGAATATTTGGAGATCCTGGATTTCTGTGATAACTTTTTTCTAAGCAGGTTAAAGTTAAAATGAGAAAAGCAAAACTTAAGGGGCACCCCTCAGAAATTGTCTCCGACACCGTACATCTGATCTTGACGAAACTTTCAATAAATGTTCTGCTTAATGAGTTATGGGAATGAAAAACTTTTTTTTGCCTCTAAGTCTTACCGTTCAGGAGTTTTCCAGAGATCAAGGGCCAAAAAGGACCCTAAAGTAGTTCCCAAGGTTTTTAATATACTTCAAGCTGGAGAGTTGGGGTTTGGCTTGTTTTAAGCTACGCACCGAACTACACGGAGTGACTGGCGCGGATGTTTCAATTAAGCCTTTATTGTTTTCCAGGCAAGCAACAACCTCTAAAACCTCCTTCCGGATTTGATAAAAACTAAGACATAATTCAAAAATCGGGGCTGGTCAGACCATATAGTTTCTTTTCCTCTTTTCAACAGAAAAAGAATAAACTCTCTACGACAAACCACTATAAAAATATGCAGATATTTGCGTTTTGCTATAATATGGGTTTTGTCACTATTTTTCACTACCTTCACTCGGGCTTTCTGAAACTTAATACCATTTGCTTTGAGTAGAGAAAAAATAAAGCAGCATACTCTAAAAAAATCAATCTTCCTGAGGTTTCCCAAAACATTTTTGAGACCGTTAACTCCGGTGTTCGTAGTGATCAGTTATAATTAGCCCAGTAAAACTTAATCTGATGCTTAGAAAATACATTTTCAATTCTTCTAAGAGATACTACAGATGATGGTGCTTTCAAAGTTTTTGAATCTCTGACTACTCAACCGTGTTCAAATATTCGCTAATCACACCCATATATAAGTTTTGGAGAAAATTTTTAAACTGTGAAAAATGACCTTGTCGATCGGTCCGTTCGACTCTGGCGAAATTTTCAGTGAATCGTGATTGAAAGCAAGACTTATTATATCTATTTCATTATAAACTTATTCTATAGTTCTCAAAAGTCCGAATGGTAAGTGAAACAGCGATCATAAAATGATGATCCACTATTTCAGAAAACTACGAAAGAACTTTGTGCTCGAATATGCCACCGATCAGTTTTGTCTTAACTCTCACAAAAAATAACTTTATCATACTTAACTCTGCTGAAAGAGATCGCTTCAAAAATATTTTGAAACTACACAAAGCGTGAACAAATTTTGTAGCGGAAGTTTTGACTTTCGGTTATTTTTATTTTTATGATATCTTTTAGTAGTGAATGAAATGTGAGCTTAGATGCTTTTTTATGTACAGAAACTGATGGTAGCATCATTAGTCCATCTAGCTTTAATAATATTGTTGGTCTAAAATCACGCTCCGGTGTTATCCCAATTTCACATAATCAAGATTCGGTTGGCGCAATGGCAAGAACAGTTATAGATGCAGCTATTTTACTTGAAGTAATTCAGGGCGTAGATCCACATGATCCAGCAACATTAGATGATAATGCCGTTCGTCATCATAACTATAGACAATTTTGCCGTGGTATCAATGGATTTCGTGGTTTAAGTTTAGGTGTTGTGCGGAACTTAAACTATACTGCTATACCTCAGGATCAATTACGAACATTCAATAAAGCGATTAATTTAATAGCAAAACTAGGTGCTAAAATAAAAGATCCAATAAATTTTGAGACAGCAGATTATTTCGTATCTGGTACAACCGAATTGTTAATACTGGAAATAGATTTTAAGCGTGGCACTGAATTATATTTAAAAACATTACAAAATACAAATATGAAAACATTGAAAGATTTAATTGAATTTAATAATCAAAATTCAGATAAAGAATTTTCACAATAAATGCCCGATCAAGATATATCGTTTACAACCGGAGAAGCAAACACTAACAATTGATAGCCCAATATATAAACAAATATTTGATTGAATTTAAGCCGTGCTAATGGTGGTATTGATTACCTACTGGATAAACATAAACTGGATGCATTGGTTATATTAAGTGATGATAGCACTTCACCATCAGATATTGCCGGTTATCAGTGTACCATTAGGTTATTTAACAAATGAGACTGAAGGAAATACTGTAGGGCAACCGTACGGTATTGCATTTTGTGGGCGAGCATGGAGTGAAAATATTTTGTTAACATTAGCTCATGCATTTGAAGAAGGAACATCTGTTAGACAACGTGTAGAATCATTACATGCTCCTTAAAATTTATTTCATCATCAATGTTCTTATCTAATTTTAATCATCCTTTAACTATACAGAAAATTTATTATTTATTGAGTTTATTATACTGCCAAAAGGAATAGAACACACGACTGAAATCAAGAAATTTTACATGCACAAAACGTTTTTTATCTGATCCTTCATTGATGTAATGCATACTTACACCCTTAGACCCTTAATGTATAATGTTTTTTGAATTCTAGTTTACTAAAATTTAAATAATGAAGATATGGTGCATGAAACGCTTAGAAAACCAATATACCATATTTATACAGTGTTGACACGTATAAATGACACGTCACTGTGGAAGATTTCAACGAAGATTCGGGACGACTACAATTTGAAGAAAATATGCTGTACCAATATTCAAGTATCTGTGAAAAACATTAATAGAACAACGGCAAAACCCTGCAGAATATTCATTATGGATTTAAAGGTGTTCATTTATTTCATCCAGTCACTTATTAGAAAAAGTTCTCTTAATCGTATCCAACTACGTAGTAAAATACAAATTGAAGTTATCATTTATGATATCTTATTCTCATAAATGAAGAAACTCCATCTTCAATCAGTTCAGCCCTTATAATTGCGTTACAAGACACAAAAACACAATAAAAAATACACATTGAAGGAGAACATCGAGTCATTGCACAACTTCAATCGTTGTGCAGAATATAGGAAAGAACAGTGAAGTTTTTTTTTGCAGTTCGTCTGCAAAGATCAAGTTCGTGTGTTCGATCCTAGCTTCGTGCAAGGATTGATTTTGTGTTTTGATAGTTTAAGTTTCAGAATGATATAATGGGAATTTATATTCTCGATTTCGTTCTGGTTCAAGATTAAAGCTTAAACCAACCCTTATAATTTTACAAGAACGTTCATCAAATCTTGACAAGACAACCGCAAAAGACAGACTGTTGAGCATTATTTTTTTATTTTTTTAAAAATATCCAAATCTGTCATTTCATTCAATTTAGTTTTAAATATTGGATTAAAATCAATTCGTATCAATACACAGGATTATTGCATGAACTATTGACCTCATACAAAGATATTAAAGGTTGTGGTTTTATCAAATGTTTCATCTTCTCACTTTACTTAGCTTATTTAATCATGCCTCACATCAAAATCGATCCATGTGTCACTAGCGTGAGACAATTATCGTCGTCCGAAACAATTGCATTCGCATTACTGTTGTCTTAACGAAGTAGCGTGTAACCGTCGTCTTCAGTTGAAGATATTGCTCTTAAGTTTGGTGTTGTTGAATTATACATACTTTTACTCGGAATGACGGTTGTTTAGGCTCATCCATAAAGGGAACCAAAGTAAAAGCCTGTTTGGTCATAAGACCTAAGAGAATAATAAACGGATGAACACATTAGAAGATCCTCCTATAATACAAGACCCTCCTATAATAGAAGACCGGTCTCAAGTGAATGATGCAAAAGGCAAAATAGAAGACCGCCTGTATATCAGAGAAAAACATTGTTGCAAAAAAAATAGATGGTTCTAGTTCGTTTTTGAGCTTCTAACCTAAACATGTCACCCTCTTTTCTACAAAAAGTATGATCACGCGCTTTTTTTTATAATACTGATGACAATTTTATGTCGAAAGGCAGTAATAAATTTCGAAAAATCTCTCCGCAGGCTCATCCAAAAGGTTTATGCAAGACCCCCTTAAACGGACACAATAAATAAATCGGATTTCTGAATTGTCCGTCTCTTTACCACATTCTGGAAAATTCTAAACTATGACGCAATATGCCAGAATAGTATAAGATGATCTAGTATTCCGGAATGCTCCAATATGACGCGATATGCTATAACATTCAATGATGTGATAAAAGATAGTATACATGAGTAATTCTGATAAAAGTGGTACCGTTTTTTTGAGAAAATTTGACGAAAACAAAAGGTAAAGACCTAGATTTTTACTTAACATATATCGGTGCGTATCTCGGAGTAACACAAAACACAGTTTACTAAATTACCATTATTCTGTTTCTCAGAATTCGAAAACACTTTTCTAATATATCGAGTTATTCAAAAACTAACAATTTGCCTTTTAATTTGAAATGGATAGTAGTATACGTTAACGGTACTGTTTGTTTTCTGTTACTTTACGTGAAAAGAGCTTTTTCCCGATTGCTTTTTAGCGTTCCATTATGCGTTGATCAACTTTGTTCGTTTGAATAACTAATTGAACCGCCAATATTCCCATTGCATATTAAAATTTGATGTTTTGTCTATAGATGTGTACCTCGAAATTTTTACATATTCGGAATCAGTCGTAGAGAAAATACTCTTTCTCTGACAAGTCGGAAGAACTGGACAATTTAAAACTTCTCTGAGAATTCTCAGCCTATGGTATATTAAGGTAAAATATTAAAAAATATTAAATTATTGTATCACAATCAAAAGCTCATAGAGTATCTACAGACAAGTTGGTCAAATGAGTTTACGAAACGTTTTGTGAGCGAATGAAGCATCCTGCTAAAAAGCAGTCATGAGCAAAGAAATTAAGCTATGGTTTTTATTTTATATTTGGATTCCATAGTCAAATCTGGGTTTATGAACATTTTTGGCCTTTTCTGACGTATTTTGACAAAGTTGTAGAATTTACGAAATGAGGAGCATCAAAGTTCCAAAAAGTACTATCCTCAGTATTCGGTCTATAACTCTGTTAATTTTTGTTCGTTTTGTTCGAGCAATATTTCATTTGAAAGCCCATCAAAAGCTAAACGAAAGGGCATATTTTTCGATCTTTTAGCGTTGAAACGGAATAGTTTGGAGAACAAACAAAGGAAAAACATGATTTCTAAAACTGAAATTTTTCGTAAAAGCTAAAACATTTTCTCTAATAAACATTTCTGAAAAATCAGAAGTTTTGTAATATACGAACGATCAAGAAAAATTTCTACAAGATGCTATCATTTCACGAGTTAGAACCATGAACTGGTTATGGACTAAATTAAAACTATTAAAAAAACTGAATCTAAAACAATACTTATTCCACTAAAACGCATATTACTCGATCGGTTCTTCCTATTAGGAAAATGATCACCATTATCATAATCATAATTCTTCTTCCTAGTAGTGGAAAAGAGAAGACTGATACCTTTCACGTTTTCATATTATCTCTTATGAAAGCATACGTTCTGGATAGAGCAGAGCCCGAAACGAATCATTATTTCCTGATTCGGTTCGATTCGATTCGAGCCAGTTCAATGAAACACAAAACTATCTTCTCTTTTACTTCCACCCATTTGTTTAAAATACACTGCCTCGAGATGGAACTTGAGCAGAACATATCATTTATGTGGCTGGAGCTTTGAAAGATGAAATAAAACTCTTGTTCTACCGTAACTGAGCTACAAGGAATTGAAAAGATCTCCAAATTAGTAATCAAAAAATAAGCGAATGCCGGTAACGTGCGACATCCATTCTGGTGCTTTCAAAAATTCTATCTTTGAAAATGAATTTGATTAGATATCTTAATAACTCGGTGAAAGATATTATATGCTTCTCTTTCTAACGCGATTATATGTTCTTGTGAGCGGTATAAAAGAGGAAAAGGACAAAGTTTTATTACATAGTGCTTTTGTTACTTTATACGATGTCATTGTAGCTTAGCTCGACTAAAGCGTTTCAACTGAGTGGCTAATTCGTCTTTCAAGAAATCAAATTTGGTTCGGTTCGATTCGACTCCAGGTGTCAAAAATCAAGTTGGTTCGGTTCGGCAAGCAGTCGAATCGATCCGAACCGAATGTCCAATCCTTCGATTCGTTTCGGGCTCTGGTATAGAGTCTTCATGATCCCTCCTTCTATCGTTTTTGTTTAACGTTTCTGTTCACTGTCCAAAGCAGAGAGCAGAGCAAATACACTCATACTTCTCTTGCCTAAATTCTAATCGACAAAAAGAACATCTCTGTTACCGAGCGCGAGGACAACTTTCGATAGAGACAACGGACGGTTTCTGCAAGAAAATGTCCCTATATATTTTTGAGAAGATGGCGACTGGAACTAATTAGAAACCGTTCGTTATTTAGTTTTTAATTTTGCTGCGTCTTAAAAGTTGATTGGAGACTACCAAATGCTGAATTTTTTAATCATTTCTGAGCATCGGTCTAGAAAGCTTATTCGATCGTATTTATGCCTTTTTCTCTGCAAGTTCGACGTTCTTAATAGTATCTTATACACAAAAACATGCGTAATTAAATGTGCTTTAAAATATATAGCACACCTTTTCAAATCAATGTCTTCATAGATGTACTGCACAAATATTTGACAGATATCTGGATTTTACCCCTAGTGGCAGACAAAAATGATTCATCTTTTGTCAGCACACCCAGACCCGGAATAGTTTATATATAGAAAAGTGCAGAATTGAAAGGGCCTACCCAATGAGCTATAAGACATTGTTTCAAAAGTTCGCCTTCATAGATGTATTGGACAAATACTTGACAGCATCTCGATTTTAACCGAAGTGGCAGATAAAAATTATTATAGTTTCGTCCATAGATAGAGATCTCTAATCATTCATCCATCATTCGATGCGCCTCGGAAAACTCTACAATATGTGCTAGTAGGAAACCTAACGAAGTATCGCAGCGGTGTTTGTGCATCAAATACTTCCCCGCTTAAATCGACAGTGGGTCCAAAACTTATTTGCCACCTTTATTTTTCATTTTTCTCGGCGACCATAATAGCTAGAATAAATTTGATGAAAGATTTGAACAGTTGAAAGAATTTCCGATCTGATGTGCTGTATACAGCGGTTCTGGAGTTCTATCAAAACTCATGAAACCAGGGTCTCTGGCAAACCAACATATAAGAAAACAACTGCTCGAGCTCATGTAGAAATGCTTTACAAATAGCTCCATCGTGTAGAGAAAATATTTCTGAACAAAATAAGACGTCTCCGAGCTCTCTACGGCATTTTTTCGTGAAACAGCATTCAGTTTATGGAAGGCTGCAAACTAGTAGAACTCAACGGAAAACAAGAAAGATACGACCTTAGGGCGATTTTCGACGACATATTCTAAAACATATAAGATAAACAGGTCTTCTGTTATATGTCGAATCTAATGAATAAACACAGAAAGATCAGTTAGCCTTACACTCTAAAAAAAATGCGACTTCAGCGATGTGTCTGCCGAGAAAAAGTGTCTTGTACGTGACTAGATTGCGATTGCAAAATAGTAGATGTCTTCTATATGACTTCAAAGTGTCTACTGGTAGGCATGTTAGGTATGTTACGAGACCGAGATACCCGTTTTCTCGTGTCTCGTACCCGGGTATAGTCTCGTAGACTGTACCCGGGTACGAGAGCGAGTATACGAGAACCCCGGTCTCACTCTCGGTTTGGTTACATACCTAAGGCATATAGAAGTCACATTGGAGTCGCATAGAAGACGTGTGAATGAGAAAGACGCTTAGTAGTCACATCATTCCGCCTTCCATGTGTCTCTAAGTTTTTAATCAAAGTCTCACACGAAATGTCAACGTAGGATGCTAATAAGGCTAATTCTTTGTTTTCCACTACACACCAAGCATTCCAAAGAAAAATAAAAGTAAAAATGTCATGTGACTGCATTAAGAAAAGTAAATACAAGACAAGACTCCTGTTGCATCTACTCAAGTGTATTTGAAAGTCCTCTGCACACTCACTGAAACATAGGAAAATGTCACATCTCATTCGAACCGACGTTCAAAGCTCTACAAAAGTATGTGTACACATTTTTTTTTAGAATTTTTTGTCAGTCAGAAAAAAGTTAAACGATGCGGTCAGTAGAAAAAAACAGTATTTTTGATTTCTTCTTTTCCGATCAGATAACACTTGTTTCACTTTTCCAATTAAACTATAGGTTAAAAATGAAGCAGAATTTAACGGAGACTATTTAAGTATATTCAGGAAGTTTATTTCTAAAGTTCTGAACGCTTTCCACTTGAAAACCCGATTTTTCAAGTAGTAAAACACCAAAGAAACACGGTATCTTTGATCTTAACATACATTGAGTGCCAGACCAATTAGTGTAATCAGTTGGAAAACGATTGGGTATTGACACCGACAAAATCTCACCTCTTTACGGACGGAGTTTCATGATGTCTGATTTCCTCGTAGCTCATCCAAGTGGACCTTTCTTCGCTCTGACTTATTCAGAATATTCAGAAGCGAAGAAGGAATATCCTACTCTAAAAGTTCGAAGGAGAAACTCACTTTCGAGACTACACTGCTACGGCAGGTATTACTCTGGGAAAAGACGATTATTTTGACAATAAAACGGTGTTGAGTCAGTTCGAACGGTTGTTTCAGTTGTTGAAGTTCAAAACAGAATATAAGGATCATGACATTGAGATATTAGTGGACAATGCACGGACTCATTCAGCGAAACAATACAGCATCAATGACTTTGGAAAAGGAGTTGGGACTCGGTGTCCGGTAGAGTTTCTCGAATTTGTCGATGATAAAGGGGAAGATGTGAAAATTTCTTGTTTTTTCGAAGACGGACAGCAGAAAAATAAGTCGAAGGGATTGTTTGTGCTGGCGCAAGAATTGAATCTTTCTCCTCAACCGAAAATTTCTCTTCCCGAACTCAAAACCTTGCTCTCGAATCATCCAGCTTTTCAAAATATCACGAAATTGGAGAAGATTGCGTCGATGTACGGTGTCAAGATCATCTTCGTCCCTAAGTTCCACTGTGAGCTCAATCCCATCGAAGGCCTTTGGTGTCATATGAAACAATACGTACGCAAGAAGAACGATCAAGACATAAAAGGAAGCATACAACAACATGGTCAAGGCATTTCCAACGATGGTCAAGCTAATCCCCGAGGCGCAAGAACTTCAGGTCCAAGTCGATTCAATTGCCCCTTTTTCATCGTTTCTGGAAGTCGATCGAAGCATACAATCAGAGCAAGTCGTACGAAGAAGTTTTGCAATTCTTCTTCAGCAGTCGAAGCAAACTAGATGTTCAATCTCATCGTCGAATCACCACCACTGCTGCTCCTTGATCCTCTTTCTTTCTTAATCGCGTGAGATAGAAGACAATGATACGATCGACGTCTAGCGATTACCAATAACGGTTTTTCCTGCGACTAAACCTTAACATTTCTCTAGTTCATTTCTTGCCTTTCCATTTGTGTCTCTCTTCTTTGTTGTATCTCTTGACAATAATAAATATTCATATTACTGAGGATACCGTCTTTCTTTGATGTTTTACTACTTAAAAAATCGGGTTTTCAAGTGGAAAGCGTTCAGAACTTTAGAAATAAACTTCCTGAATATACTTAAATAGTCTCCGTTAAATTCTGCTTCATTTTTAACCTATAGTTTAATTGGAAAAGTGAAACAAGTGTTATCTGATCGGAAAAGAAGAAATCAAAAATACTGTTTTTTTCTACTGACCGCATCGTTTAACTTTTTTCTGACTGACAAAAAATTCTAAAAAAAAATGTGTACACATACTTTTGTAGAGCTTTGAACGTCGGTTCGAATGAGATGTGACATTTTCCTATGTTTCAGTGAGTGTGCAGAGGACTTTCAAATACACTTGAGTAGATGCAACAGGAGCTGAAGAATGCGAATATCTCATTCAGAACTGAAATCCTCCAAAAGACGTGGTGTTTTTGCGTTTTTCTTAACATGTACCAAAAACAGACTTTTTCGGGAGTTCTAGTATTTTTATTTTCACGTTTTCGACCTGAAAATCTCGTCAAAAGTGGAATCTGATGACTATGACCATGGGTCAGAATTGTCAGAGCTAACGAATGAGGTATAATTCGACCACTTTTGCGTCTGCTCCGTTTTTGCCTTTCCTGCACCTTATGTCCATAGGTTTTTTCATTAGAAATAGCCATTTCTTTGTACGATAGAGACATGGACCCAAGGGGGAAAAAGCGGACTCCTATGAACTCCTATGGACTCTGGACTCCCATGGACTCCAGGAGTCCAAGAGCAAAGTGTCCTTTTTTGGGAATCACTTCCCAAAAAAGAACACTTTGCTCTTGGACTCCTAGACTTCGGGAGTCCAGGAGTCCGCTTTTCCCCCCTTGCATAGACCACATATCATTCCTTCATATACAACAATATGACCTTATTTGCTTTTTATCGATCACCATTGTGCATTTTTCTTTTGATCCTTTTATCGGTAAAGCCTGCATCCAAATAAAAAAGGCAGATTTTGTTCTCTTTTCTGTGAAACGAAAACAAACGTAGAGATAGTTGTTGGTGGACAGCTGCAGTCCTGTTTTTATGTACAGAATTCTAAACTGATCATTGTTTACTTTTTGTCTTCATTCAAATTTATTCAAACAATTTATAGGCATATAGACCAACATAAGATATTCTTCCTTTTCTGTCTGATAAAAACAAAGACAAAAGTCCGATCAAGACGTCATGAATTTGATAGTTTTGTACACCTAAAATCTTTTCTTGACCAGCGTCAGTTAGGTTTCTAGCGCAGCACCGCTAAAAAGTCGATTTAGATTGAAACTCGCCGAAATGTAAACATCACCACGGGAACACTAGAAATGGCCTATTGTTTTTCTTTCTTTGTTTGCTACTGACTTCAGAAAACAAAAAACGTCGATGAGCCTGAGATCATTTTGTTTTTCCACATTGAAACAGAAATTGTATGTCACTTTTGATTATAACCTTCTTTTGAATCTTAGGGTTGCTTTTATGACTGTACTATTTCTCAAATTATGTCAATTTTTTCCAAATTTTTGGTGTCATTTTTGTTTTTCTATAGAAGAAAAATTTAAAAAGAAGAAACGTAATAAGCTGTATAACTATCTTGACGATAATGGCTAAGAAAATCATTCGGTTGTCAAGATTGGTATCCAACAACTTTTTTGTGACGTATTTAGTCTCTCACTAATGCAGGAACTGTCCACAGAAAAGCTCCTTCTTTCATGCAGATAATTTTTGAATTTCGCCGAAAAGGAAAAGAATTTTAGACTTCAATTATGAACTTTGATAAATTCTAATTTGGAAGCTCAAAGTCAGTCTGCAAGAGAGATTAATTACGGTCGTTTCATCGATCAAACTATTTCCTCATTGAATCCTGACACCATCCCATATCGATTTCCACAAGAAAAATCTGCAGTTTCTTCATTTTCACACTTCTTTCTCAGCATTACACGCACTTACAATGCATTTTCTGTGTACATAAACTTGGCTGTCATTGCATTAATTCACTGTGTTTATCTTGTATATATCTCTTTGTTTCTCATGTCTGGAAATATTCGGATAATTATAATTTTTTATCTAATATTACTTAATCCATTTTCAGAGGTGAGGAGGAGCGATCTTCTTTTATTTTTGGTTGTTCTCATTAGGTATCAGAGAAATGGTTCTTTATCTTGTTGTTATAGTTTTACACTACCGATGAAACAAACGTCATTGGGATTCGCCGTCTTTTCGAAAAGTTAAAAATTGGTTATACTCACGTAATATAGTGACTCCTGCACAAAGAAAACTTATGCCTGTAAACTGCCTCTGCTAGAAAGCACTTCAACTGAAATGACCGGCACTGAATACAAGAAATGAGTTCCTTCTCTTCCTAAACATACAGATAGGACAGCAGCACATTTTCTGTTTCTTCCTTCTTCGTCCGTCGTCTGATATATGTACTTATAATTCGGTGAAAAGGTCAGAGGAACGTTGTCTTCGTTTTTCTCTTTTTCATATATAAGCAAAACACTTTCAGACACTCAGGTCCATGATTACGACCGCCGTATACGGTCGTATATGTCAAATTACGTCATCGTAATTTGACGTATACTGTAGTATTTCGCCGTATTTCAGTGTAAACGATATAGTTTACGATTGACGTAATACGTTGGACGGGTTTACGTCAAAATACGATGAAATACTATAGTATACGGTTGTGAGTCTATGACCTAGGTAGTGAAGTGACGTGTCTGTTTTCATTTTTCGTATTCAATATTCTCTTATTTATATGATGATTGTTATTGTTATCTATTTTGTAATTCTGAAATATATTTATCTTAAATTCCAAGATCAAGGTTGAGTTTGAGAGATTTTATTACTTTTGGTTATAGAACTCGAGAGAGAGAGAGAGAGAGAGAGAGAGAGGAAGGAAATCTGACATTAGCAAGCGAGGGAAGCCCAATCGAGCGGATTGAACTCGAGACATCTACTACTAGACTGAGCACGCATTTTTCCTTACTGCAAAACGTTAATCTTTATACTTACAGTTGTCGATGAAGAACCAGTATCACCGCCAAGACCCTCACCCTCCTCAAACAAAGTCAGCATTATTACCTATGAAAATCGTCATACTTTATGGTATCTTGATCGTTTTAAAGAAATAAATCAACGTTATTGTGATTATCATGGTTACAAATATATATTCTATGATAGTTATTCAGGAGAAAATGATATGCCACCCTATTGGATTAAGGTCAAAATTTTGTATGATTTAATTGTGTCTAACAACGGCTATGATTATCTAATGTGGATTGATAGTGATGCAGTTATTAATTATGAAAATATGAAGATGATAACGATTGAATCATATTTTGCAAGTATGTAGGATGGCAAAAAAGCGAAACCGGTTCAACTCTTAAATCGCTTTCTCCTTGAAGCACACATTTTCATAGATTATCGACAATTCTGGCGCCAAATATGAGCATAAGTCAGGTCCATAGGCCTTCAAAATCGGTTTTCTCCAGAAACCCAACATTTTCGTGCGAAACGCAATATTTCAGAGTCAAACATCTCCTAATACATCAAAAAATTGCATATAGCATGAACAGTTCAGCTTTCTCCGACGAGAAATTGAGTTATTGGAAGAACAAACTTTTCTTGAAGTTCTGATAACGAACAGCAAAGTAAAAAGTTCATTGACTATGAAATCTTCATCGTTGCACAGTTTTTGATGCTCTGTAAGAGGGTGAATGAGCTTCTATCGCTTGAAAAAGTTCGAGTTTCTGGAGAATGAAGGTTTAAGGATTCGTCTCATTCTCATATTCGAAATCGGTATCGTTGATAAGTTATACAAGATGTATCTTTCAAAGAGAAAGCGATTTGACGGTTCCCCTTTAGCAAAACAAATCTAATCCACAAACTGTTCACTGTTTAGACACAGACTATACCTTTATTGGAGCACCTGATCAAGCTGAATGGAATTCTCCGTTTAATGCTGGTGTCTGGATAGTTAAAGGCAATCAAAAAGGAAAAGAAATTATGGCGAAATGGCTCTCCTACTATGGTACTTGTCTATGGCAATTTGATCCTTTACAAAAGCAGTGGATCTCTAATGGACATACAGCTAGTGTCCATACTGATCCCGATTGGGCTGGTATTTGCTATGAACAAGGTAGTTTTGGGATATTAATTATGCAGGATAAACACGAGTATGGTAATTTTATTCAAATGAAGGAATGGTATACTCTGCAGTTTGTTGATTCCAAAGATAATAAGTATGCAGTAGAGGTGAAGAAAAAGAAACAGAAACGAAAGAAAATATTTGTAATACATTTTGCTGCAGGGTATAAGGATGCTATTGAGCCGTATTTAAATGAACATCAAAATAGTATAAATAAAATGTTAATATTTTAGACAGAGAATGTCATAGGAGAAATGATCATTCTTTTTTTTGCACCTTGCGTTGCACCAATTTCCCATTGTAATATTCTGTGACAGAGTGTATCAGAGATATAGTGGTAACCATAGCTATCGCTAATAACATTACGTGGACTATTCAGTTGATTTAAGCCTGTACCATTTCCATGACCTCCTGCTAGCAGTCGTTCCATTTTGCAACTCCGATTATCCACATTTGTATTCTATGATTTCCATAATCAGCAATGTATATAATCGATGAATTATTTCGATCTAAATAAACTCCGCTTGAACCATTAAACTGATTCATTGCACTTCCTTGGTCATTTCCTCCTGCTACTAATACTCCTGTTGAACTTCCGTTTATTCATTTCATCACACGATTGTTGCTATAATCAGAATGGTAGATAGTACCACTTGTATCTACATAAACACCATAGCTAACGTTTATTTGATTGTAAGATGAACCAGCGCCGTTACCTAAACATTTTTAGACAGAAAATCTCGAAACACAACGAGCGCACACTTACAGACAGACACAGTCACTCACCTTCAGCTGCTGTCACTCCCGTTGTTGAATTATAAGAAAACATTTGTATACGATAATTATAGGCATCTGACACACAGAGTGTATTATTTGAATCAACGAATATAGCTCTTGGATAATTAAATTTTGTTGACGAATTACTACCTATTGTCATATTTATACCGGCAATTGTGACACATGTTGTTGCACCTAGAACAGGTTGACACAAAATAATGAAGAAAAGGTCTGCACGTCGACTGGAAAAACCACTATTTTCTACTCGTAAGATCTTACCTGCTAACCATCGTTGGATTCGCTGATTATTTGTGCCAGCTCCGTAAACAGCTAAACAACTATCATTAGCTGCATCATTTGGATAGCTAAGTTGACTTGAATTACAGTCCATACTGCCACTTATACCCGCAACCTTTACACCTGCTGAGTTTCAACACAGTTGTGATGTAGAGACAGTAACTAGAAAAGAGTGAAACGAAGAATCTGAAAAAAGAAGCTTTTAACAATTCATTGTGAATCCAATTACCTATTGTACTAGTGCTACTTGAGATTGTCGTTATTGTTACTACAGTCGTAACTTGAAAGAAAAGAAATGTATCGAAGAACTTTTACCAGCAGAAAACTCAGGTAACTGTTCTAGATGTCTAAAAAACAAGCTGCTCTCCGCTGAATCCTTTTTAAAAATTGCAACCTGTCGTTGTTGTAGTGGCGGCACTGATGGTCGATGTAGTCGTTGATGAACAGTAATCGTGGCCGTTGTCGTTGTCAGCACATTAGAGTTGCTGTGATTGAGACGGTGGTTTCAGTCATGGTGGCAGTGGTCGTAGCAGTCATAGCCAAAACTGTTGTTGTCAACGATTGTGAATCAAAAAAACAAGAAACTTATTCTTCTCAAACTTTTATTTTTACTCATACTTGTTTTTATTGTAGTGTTAACTGTACCGACAGAGAGCAATGTACTAGCAGAGTTGGAATCTAAAAATTAAATGTTACGCTATTCTGTATATCTAGTACATCTTCGAAAATCAACAAGTTACTTTGTTGAATAGAATTCTCACTTAGTTTACCACCGAGAATCGGATCAAAAACTGCACCAAGTACGAATAGACCTGCCAATATATGTACACTGGTGGTAGTGGTAGCAAAATCTAAAAGAAACTCAGAAGAATCGGTAACAGTGGCTTTAAGTACCACCTTTAAGTACCATGTTGTACCTAAAAACGTCTTAGGTACAACATCAGCAACTTCTTCATCATCCCAAACACTGTTAAATTTTGGTACAGTTAAAGTAGACGAATTAAATAGAGTTGTAACAGAGTGTGTTGATCGAGCTGAGCCACAGCGGACATAGTCGTCGTTAGGTGATTGATTAGTTATTGTTGGAATCAATTCTGCTACTAATATCCTAGTGTAAGAGAGGGTCTCCATGGTTGAGTTCAATCACAGTACACGAAAACAAGTGACAAAGTGAGTTTTAAAGCCACTGTTACCGATTCTTCTGAGTAAGAGGAAAAAGTTAAGTATCGGTTTTGGAAAATATCGTTCCGTTGTTGAGAAAAGTAATTTTCTTGGAACAGGTAGCAAAAAACAAGGAATTTCGCTTGTATTTTGCAGTTTTCATTGTTAAACTCCTATTTTTCTGCATAACCAATGTCATATTTGGAATTAGCATAAAAAGCTGAATTGATTGATATGTGTTTCAGGATTTTTGGACAACTTTCAATTTATCGATTTTTTTATTATCGATTATAGTAAAAATTTGACATAATTTCGATCAATACTGGTTGATAGGAAACTTTTCAAGGTCCTTCCAGTGTCGCTCAGACACAATTCATCAGAAATCGTGTGAGTGATTTAGTGAAAAAACTTAATTAGAAAAGTATGTTTTTTCGAAAAGGATGATGCACCAACTTCGATTTGTTCTTGTTTTACTAGGCAGTTACATCAAGTCAACTACGAGGAACAAATCGAAGTTGGTGCATCATCCTTCCCTGCTACATTATCGAATCTTACCATATTATTCTTTTTAGCAGAAAAAAAATGAATTGATTCTTTACAGAAATGCAAGTTAATGAACTGAATCTTAGTTTGTTCATTTTCAATCCATTTTTGTGTTGTTTTAGTGGAGAAAAGTGTGGAGTGTTTCATAATAAAAAAAATCAGATAATTATTGTTTGGCCTTAGACACCTTTTCTATGGCTTTCACAATTGAAATTATAAATTAGAGATTGTTTACATGTACGGATTGCTCCCCCACCTAATTTGACGTTGTTATGAATGCCCTTGATTTTCAAAAAAGATGAAAACAGTCGGGACTCTATACTTTGCATTTTTTCCTATTAAAGCCTTTTATTTTCTAGATTGCCATTAGGAAAGTCCATTGTGACAACCTTTCGCAGAAAGCCTTTTTTGTTTTGTAAGCCATCAACAACAGTTGAGACTCTACCAGAGAGAGGTTTTCTTAGAATCACGTAGTTTATAAGAACCCAATATCCTTTGCTGTTCGCTATTGATGTCTCAACGTACCAGAAATTATTATTTTTATTTCATCGACCAAAAAAAGAAAACACAAAATTATTATACGTCATCGTCTACATCCTCATCGTCATCTTTCTCATATTTATCTTCATTAATCTTCACACAATAGCACACAACAGCTTCAAAAATAAACAGTACGAGCCAAATAAATATAGTTATATATCCACGTCTAAACAATGTCTTATGACAATATGTTTCTAATTCTCGATTGTACTGTATTAAACTTTGGTAATATCCAATAGGCTCCTAGAATGAACCATACCAACATGATAATGCCATTGTAATACAAAAACGTAAGACCAAATATAAAACAGCAAGAGTGTTGTTACAGTTGTTAAAAAGACAATAAATGTAATTGTACTATATATACCGGCAGTGAGTAAGTACAGTGGAATATTTGGCTGGATTCTGCAGACAAAATTCTCAAAATTATTATAATAATAATGACGAATACCATAATAAAGTTGTGCAATTGAACAGGTTGACAGAATTGTCTGATAAAAAAAATTTAAATAAACCGACAGTTTCATCTACAAATAATTTAGCTGTGGACACATTCGGTAGATTAGTTCTAAACTCACAAAGAGTTGATATATAACATGACGATCTATTTTTTATATTCTTAGTCGATCCTAAGGTGAAGCAATCGTCCAGATCTTCTTACGTTGACAAGTTATAGACGTTTCATTTCAAAACAAGGATATCGAGGCCATTGTGTGCAACATACTTAAAATCATCTTCATATGCTGTGTGTTTCAGAGCGTTTTCTGGCCATAATTTCGAGCAAAACTGCAAAAAGAAACCTAGGTCATTTATAGTATTTCACGAATAAGCTGGTAGGAGTTTTTCTTGCTTTTTGCGTTGTACACTGCATAAAAATAACTTATTGTCAGAGACATTTACAACTAAAACATCTTACTTACTTTATAGAAAAACTAGGCGACCTCTTGTTTTGTAGAATTTGCTGTATGATGATACCAAAGAAAAAAAAGATAATATTTATATAAAAAGTAAAAATGAATTGAGTTAAGGGAATGACACACACCATATACGCACACAGATGAAGTAATACCTCACTATGTTAGAAGCAGTTTGCTTATGAATCAGTATAAACAAAAGTATAACTGTAAAAATAAAGTTAAGAACAGTCACTATTACTTATACACAATTTCTTTGTGTAAATATCTAGAGCACCATTTGCATTTTGATCTGAATTATGAATTATCAGTGCAGAGTCTTCCTCTAAATCGCTTTTACTGATTATTTTGTACTAAGTCAAAATCACTATAGACAAGAAAAAAGAGGATTTTGTGATCGACCGCCAACATATATGGCAGTCTTGATACCTTAAGTTTTGTGGAGTACCTTCCATTTTCTTTAAGGTGCACGTAATTCAAAGTTCGAGCAGATGATAGATTCTTTTGAAACACACATCATTCGATAGAGCTCGATGCGCTCTACAATTCTGTCACCTTTAAAATCATTTTGGTCCTTCCTGGAAGGAGAAAACCTTGAAATACTGGATCTCGCTAAAATGAGGTTTTGACGAAAAACCCACATAACTCTTTTTCCTTGTACTTTTGACTTTTAAGTCTTTCATATTCGGATTCGCCATGTCCGAATG